TCAAATATATATATGAAAAGAGCGACTTCGCCCAAATCAACAACAGTTTGATCCCACTCGAATGACTCAAGTCAAGACTAACTTCATCCAAAACAATGAATCCAAATAATCTCGTTTGAGTCAAGGATGAATCTTCTTAAAGCGATAAGTCAAAAGTCGATCTCGCCCAAATAGGCAAATCCGATGAGACTCCTTTCGGACTCACATGACGAAATCCTATTCGGTCCGGTTAAAATTGGCTTCCCTAAAAATCAGGAATTCACCATACAAAAATCCGAAAGTCTACGCCAAAGATGTGTAAAGCAAGGGGAAGGAAAAGAAATACAAAGGACGTACAACGATGAATACCCCTTTTATTTAGACAGTTGCGCAGATGGCCGCAGATTATACACGGCCAAACCGGTCCAATATAGAAAACAGAAAAAAATAGACTAAGGTAACTTTTCAATCGACGTCATCACCTCCGTCCTCCCCATCACCATCTCCAGGAAATTTCTCCTCAGCATTAACATCCTCACCGGCGTCCGGTGTCGCAGGATCGTAGCCACAGTTAACACGAGCCTCTCGTGCCTTCGACCGAGCTCCTTCATAAGCGGCCTCAGAAACATTGCCCACTTCCCACAAACTCTTATATATGTCCCGCTGGGCTTCGGCATGGACCTAGAGCTCGTGCAAATTGTGAGGAATAACGGCAGAGGCAGATTCAGCTTGGGCCAACAATTGCGCCTTTTCGTCCTCAAGAACAGCGACCCGATCTCCCAAGGTTGAAGCTTCCCGGTCAATTTCGCCAATATGCTCTTCGAGCCTCGCCTCCCTAAGCATAGTCGTCGCCCTCTCAGACTTCTGTTCGGATTGAAGGATGCGAATAGTGTCCTCCAACGCCGCAGCCCTTGCTGAAGCTGACATCCAAGCACTCTCAACACTCTCCAACTCGGAGACCTTCCTCTCCAGCTCAGTTAATTTCCCCATCCACTCTGCACTCAAAGCCTCAACTCTGATGGCATTTTGATCCAACTCGGACTGCAATGACAGCACCTTTGTCTGAAGATGCTCACACACTGCAGTGACCCCCTTTCCAACTCAAGTTCTTCGTCCTTTAAGAAAGTAGCTCATCGAGCTCGCTATTCCTACGAATAGACTGCATCAGCTCATGATCCCTCTTCTCCAGTTCCTCCCCGAGATATTGACTACCGGCGTTCGCCCTGAGCCGTTCGTGCATCTCACGACACTTGTTGCAGTAGCGCCGATACTTCTCCAATATCATCAGAAAAATTTTGGCCTGAGTGTCGGCCCTACGAGCACTTTCAATCTCCAACATGTATGACTAAAAGCCCAAAAAAGAAAAAAAGAGACAGTAAGGGCCAAGGTCGCCAAAAACAAAATGAACACGAAAGAAAGAATAGGGGAAACTTACCCTCAGGCCTATAGTGGCAACTTCATGCATCAAATCAACGTCACGAACGTCCCAAAGAGCCTCACACTCTGTGGCAGAGCACAAAAGGTCAAACTGCGGTACCAAGCCCACCGTGTCCCGCAGAAGGTTAATCTCCAACAGAATCTCAAATACATGGGACAGACCTCCCGCCCTTACCACCATGTGGGTAATGCCCTCCTCAAACATTCTAACATCATCAGGATCAAGATGAGATACAAATTCAGACTCGTAGTCGTCAACCACGACACCCTTTCCCCTCTCTGCGGCTGAAGAAGAAGCACGACTCGGTCCGAAAGATGAAGGCCCGCCCAAAGTGGAAATAGCGGTCTTCGGACCCCGACTTCCCATCGTAGTAGTCTATTGATCAATCACAGCAGACGAAGTCTCTGCCGTCGGGTTGGTCTCGACCGCTGGGTTTACCTCCGTGGACGGGTTAGCATCACTGCCCATTTCAGACACCGTCAAGGGAAGGTCGCCCTCTGAATATACTACGGTTGGAGAAGCTATTTCGGACTCCACTTGTTGTCTCTTCGACGGACCCTCCCCGTCCTCAGCATGGGAAGATTCATCAGTTGAGCGGGCAGTGGGAGCCGGAGTCCCAGATTGGGGAACAATTTCGATGCACACGGCTCCAGTCGTGGGCTCAACTTAAGTAGCCCTCGGTGTAGGTCGGGCAGCAGACCTCGTTGTAGGCTGAACAGAAGACGTCAGTTGACGGAATGCGAGCAGAGGAGCCCTCGTCCTTCACACTCTCCCCGTTAATAGTAATGGTCGTGTGAGCAACGAGGTCAAATTGCAAGGCAAAAAATAGAAGCTGCAACTAGTTGACTTACTAGTAAGGGGCTTACGCCCGTATTTCTCATAGAAGGACGCACATTCGCGAACCCCCGCCATATGAGGAAGAATGGCATTCACCCATTCACAGATATCGTCAACAGGCGTAGGGGGTAGTCTCTCGGTTGTAAAAGTAAAAAACAATTTAACAATACAGCCCAAAGAAAAATGACCGACCATCACTTCGACAGGAGATACAAAAAACTTACGTGCGAAGTTCCACCTCTTTGGGAACCCTGCAGAGCCCGTCACAAGGTGCTCCGCACATAAAAGTAGCTTTTGTAGAAATGACGATTGGTTCTATCGTCCATCTTCACCACCAGACTCCTCGTTCCTCGATGGCGCATGTGGATTATCGTACCTCGAATAAGTTGAGGGGCAAAAATATTAAGCATATTCCCCAGAGTGATCTCCCGACCGGCAAGCTCCGCGAACTTGAGCAGCATGAGGAACGGTTTATATACGTACGGCGAAAGTTGAGCCGGCCATACCTCGTAGAAATGGTAGAAGTCTGCCACCAAGGAAGGGAGAGGAAGCGTATACCCGACGATGAAAGGATATGCGTAGAACACACAATATCCTGGGCGGTCAAAATGAACAATATTGTCTCCCACCGCCCGCAACATCTCAACATGGGGCGGAATCCCCCATTTGGTCTTAAGTTCCGCAATCACCGCTTCATCCATAATAGAGGAAATAGGTTCTGGTTCCTCTCCAGCAAGGCTGTTAAAATCGGTCCATAGCTTTTCCGGACAGGGCAATATTTCGGCCACAGTTGGAACTCCCTCATCCTCCGCCATTTCCACTCCTCCGGGAGCGAGAGTATCATTTTCCGGCAGTGAAACTTAGGCAAGTATGTCAGCGCAGAAAGAAGTACCAGCCATTTATCTCGAATTGAACAGAGTGAATGAGTAGGGGGAAGTAAGAGGGAAGACAGTGACGTCAATTTCCGACTAACAGGAGAGTGAACTAAAAATCTGAGGTATCAGAAAAGGTAAAGACTCACAAAATTCCTCTGATAGATTGAAAATGGTGGCAATACAATGGTGAGTTTCCCCTATTTATAGGAACATAAATCCCCCGAGCGGGAAATCCGAGAGTCACCAATCAAAACTAATAGGGTACAAGAAACGGTTAAATCTATAGGGAACGTGTGTCATAATGACAGTAACTACAAGTGACATTTCGAATCAACACAATGATTCAACTCCGAACGGATGTGACGGTCCAAGGGTATCGTTGAAGCGTTACGCTATCGCCTCGATATAAAAACCTCGCTCAAGGCGTAAATATTCAGATTTCTCCTAAACTTGTGAGTCGACAAAGTCCGCCCTCGAACCCGCTAAGAGACGACCTCGACGGGTTGTGGGGCTAACTGTATGGGTCAAAATCTGACTGTAGTGGTCTCCCCCAATAGGAATGATAGGGGGTCGACCAAGCCGGGATCCAGCCTAGGTGGCGAAATAGCAAAGAACACCTCGGCCGTCCTCGGGGTCAAATCATCGAAGCACACGTCAGGTCAATATTGCGTTCAAGCAATGACAAAGGGGACAGTCGCAGAAAAGCATGTTGGTCAAAGACCACTGAATAAAAGTTCTAAGAACTATATATATATAGGGGCAAGCTCAAAGAAGGGGGGGGG